TTTTTTTTATTTTTTTGAGACAAGGTCTTTACTCGGCCCCCAGGCTAGTGTGCATTGGCATCATCATAGCTCAGTGAAACCTCAAATTTCAGGGCTCAAGTGATCTTGCCTCAGCCTCCTGAGTAGCTCGGTCTGCAGGCTTATACCACCTTGCCTGGCTAATTTCTCTGTTTTTTATGGAGATGGGGTCTCCCTTGTGCTCAGGCTAGTCTTTCACTCAAGCCTCAAGCCGTTTTCCCTCTGCGGCCTCCCAAAGTGCTGGGCTTAACTTGCATGAGCCACCTTGCCTGGCTCACTAAGCGTTTTCTTATTTTTTCCATGATACACCTTTAGTGTCTTGTGTTGTATCTACATTTCTTACTAATTTTGTTGTGAGCCAGTTAATGTACTGGAGTTTAGTGGTTACATACTGGAGTATAGGAATGGTCTTTGTCCTTGTGGAGCTCATGTATACTGGGGAAGATCATATTAAGCAAATACTATTAAGTGTGCCGAGTGCTATAAGGTGGGACTGGTGGAGAGATTTGGGAGTTAGAGGAGTGGGGCTAGAGTGCTGTGGTATCAGCCTAACTTAAAGCAACCTCCTACTCTTGGGTTCAGGTGATCCTCCTGCCTTAGCCTCTTAAGTAGCTGGACCATAGGCTCCATAAACCTGGCTAATTTTTCTACTTCTATTAGAGACAGCGTCTTGCTCTTGCTGACGCTGTTCTCAAACTTCTGAGCTCAAGCGATCTGATCCTCTAGCCTCTGCCTCCCAGAGCGTTAGGATTACAGATGTGAGCTCCTGGGGCTAGCCACAAAGACATTTTAAATCAACATAAATTTGGAAGCTACAGTAGGGACATATAAAAACTTTAAACTTATTTTATAGCAAATAACACAGTGAACAAATTGACATTCTTAAAAAGAAAAAAATGATACTTTCCATAACATATATTAATATCAGACATTGTTGAGAAAAAGAAGCCAGCCATATACTGCTACTCTGTGGTTCTGGTTTTGCGAATTTCAAGAAAACTAAGCAAGGGTGATAGAAATCAGAACAGAGGTTGATGACAAAGGGGTAAGAGGCAGCTCTGGGACTAGCTTAGTCCTGTCATCCTAGCTCTCTAGGAGGTCAAGTGGGTAGACTGTTTGAGTTCAGGAGTTCGAGACCAGCCTGAGCAAGAGTGAGACCCTGTCTCTACTAAAAATAGAAAAATTAGCTGAGCATGTGGTAGGCACTTGTAGTCCCAGCTACTTGGAAGGCTGAGATAAGAGGATTGCCTGAACCCATGAGTTTGAAGTTGCTGTGACCTACGCTAATGCCACGGCATTCTACCCAGGGTGACAGTAAAAAAAAAAAAGGAACCTTGTGGGATGATCAAATGTTATGTATTTTGATTGGTAACGTAGTTAACATTGGTTGTGTACATTTGTCACAACTCACTGAACTAAACATTTATATCAGTGTGTATTAGTGTATGCAAATTATACTGCTATAAAATATAAAAAAAGCCATTGGCAAATAACATTTTGAGAAAACAGCAGATGACAGGCTATGATCTAACACATATAAGTTCTCTCACAAATCAATGAGGAAAAGACAGTACAAAGAGAAAATAAAGGATATAAATTATTCTCATAAGT